TGATTTGAAAAGTATATAAATAAAGATATTGCATGGTTTTGTATAGGAGGTTGAGAAATACCAATGCTGATATTTTGGTAATTAAGCATTTATTTATTTTTCCTCAAGATTCCTGTATGTTTGCTTGCTTGCTTTTTTGTTTATTTCCATCTGTGCATAATTTGTCCCAGTCCTGAGAACTCTGAACAGTATCAAAAATGCAAACTAAAAGTAAAAGCATAACACCAACGATAGATTCCCTCACTCAAATTAAGCAATGTATCTTAACCTTGACAATGTTAAGATGTGGGGATTTCAAGTCCCAGACTTTTCTAGCCAGCATGCTGGAGTCATTGAGTTAGGGGACATATACAGTTCATTAACTTGCTGGTTAGCAAGACAAGTGCTTCTCATCCCTCTGGAGAAGCAAATTCTTCAAAGTAGTGATTGCCACAAAGCAGGACTCTGTTACCCACACCCCAACATCATCATGAGGACTAGTGACCTTCAGCAGACTTTCTCTGGATGCCTGGAAGCAGATTCAGTTTGGGCATTATGTTACGTGATATATCCTGGTTTTTAATTCATAGACTTAATAAAAAAAACAACTCAAATAATAATGTACTGTGGCATATTCCAGAATATTGTAATTACGATAGTGCTGTTTTCCAAAAACAATGGTCATGTGTTTAGATTGTTTTTCTGCTTTTAACCATATGATATGTGAAGATTGTTTGACCAAATTAACCTGAAAAATTAAAGCCAGGTAATGTCTATTACTGTCCAAAACCACTTTTAGTATTTCCATTAAGAACCTATTAATTTTCAGCAAAATATCCTGAACTTAGTGAATAGGAGCAGAAATTAGGTTACCATTTTTGGAATAACACTATTAAGTACCGTTTGTTAAAGTATCCACAGAATCCATTAAAAAGAATCATCAACATCATCTACTGCCGTGACATAGGAAGAAATGTTTCATCTAATACTATTCCAATTATGATGAAGCCAGCTTGTTCCTGAAAGTAGAAAAGGTTCCTGACTGAGATAGTGAGATAGCTTAAGATAGTGTTCAATAGGAAAACTTGCTTTGTTTATCAAGTTGAGCAACTAACAATGGCTCTTGTTAGATGAAGCAGTGGGGAGAGCTTCATATATGTCTGTATATACATACATACACACACACACACACATACACCCTCTTTCCCTGAAAATAAGACCTATCTAGAAAATAAGCCATAACATGCTTTTTATGGTGTGCCTAATATAAGCCCTATCCCCAAAATTATGCTGTACCTAATATAAGCCCTATCCCCTATCCCCCAGCTGGCCCATTATGTCTGGTTGCTTGTGATGCCATGGTCGCAAAGTGGGGTGGTAGTGGAGCTACCCCATGCATCCTGCACTGGCTTACCTCAAGACCCCACAGCCAGGCCATCCATTCTGACACCTGCCTTGTGGCAGCAGCACTATTAACCATGTGCAGCAGGAGCCCACATGGCCACCAGCCCACTTCTGCTTGCTCATGGCCACAGCCGTGAGGCAAGGCAAGGGTCAGGGCATGGATGTGGCTGTGATGGCTGTGGAGGCCCTGAAGTAATCCGGTGAAGGGTGTGTGGGGCAGTTCCACCCGCCTCACCTCATGGTCACGGCACTAGTGCGTTGCTTGGCCTTCTGCTCCATTGTGGCTGAAAGCAAGCAAATGTGGGTCATTAGCCATGCGGGGTCCTGCTGGACAGGGCTGCTGGTGCCATGGCTGCAAGGTGAGACAGGTGTCAGGGCATGGGTGGCCTGGCTGCAGAGGCCCTCAGGTAAGCCAGTTTGGGGCAGTTCCATCCTCTCTTGCTTCACAGCAGCAGTGCTGGTGCACCGCAAGCAAGCAGAAGAAGTGGTCCTCAATACATGGAGGGAAAATAAGAACCCCTCCCCCCAAAAAATAATCCCTAATGCTTATTTTGGACCCAAAATAAAATAAGACCCAGTCTTATTTTTGGGGAAACTCTGGTACATATACATACCTGCTGTACATAGCAGATACATTTGATACAATCATCACAAGTTGAAAGTTAATGAGTGTGTTAGGTAATTATCTATTTATTTAATTTTTATACCACCCATCACCCCTACAAGGTGACTCTGGGAGGCTTACAAGTTATAAATGGATGCTATACAATTGATGCTGTAGAACCAGGAATGATTGCTAGATCTGGAAAATCTCTCATGCAAAGGCATCTCTGTTATTGCAACAAATCCTTGAGCACCGAGTTGTCATTCTTCTGTGCATGTTGTGAATGTCCGTCTGAAATAGTCCCTACTGTTTTCTTGGTAAGATTCTCAGAAGTGGTTTGCCATTGCCTGTTTCCTGCAACTGAGAAAGACTGACTGGTCTAAGGGCACCCAGCTGGCTTTATGCCTAAAGTGGGATGAGGACTCAAGATCTAGCAGTTTCTAGCCTGATACATTAACATTATACCACACTAATTCTGGTGATATTCGTTTGAGATCATGTGAAGAGGGAGCGTGGGCAGAAACATTCATAATCAGCCTTTCCCAGTGCCCACAGCTGTGTGTGCAAGGCTGATGGAAGTTGTGTTACTCATCAAGTGGATTTATACAGGGAGTGGTTTTGTGCAACAGAACAAATAGGTATAAAGTCAGGAGAATTAATTTGGTAGAAGGAATTCTGGAGGCTAGTGCTGATGTGAAAGAAAATAAACCCCATTTAGCCAATAACAAAGTGTTGGGAAAGCTAGAGTTATTCGCATGTCTACAGCTTAGAATCTGAATGTGGTTTCCCTCCGTTATTGGAGGGAGGGTAAGTCAGGAGAGAAGCTAAGCAGAGCAGAACAGGTCAGAAGCCAAAGGAGAAGGAATATAGCCATTATAAAGCGTGTCAGTAGAGACTTGCAAAGTTAGACAAAAGAAAGGGTGGGGGAGAGGGAGAGGGAGAAATGCTTGTACCAGCTATCTCTATATCTATTGCTTCCAATGCTTAGTAGATACATAGATACAGAAAGCATGGAAAACTGAATTCCATCATTATTTTTTTTAAACAGCTCGCTAAGGCCAACCTTTTAGACCTCAGGGACCACCACACTCATCATTTTAAATCCCGCGGACCATTAATATGAATTTTGACTGACGGTGGCTTGCTGACATTGGTGGGAAAGTCAGTCCCATCTTCCAGAGCTGCAGTAGTCACAGGACTGGCCCTTTGGTCATCTCAGAGTAGCTGCTCCCCCACCCAGGTGCACCGCCCTACCATGGACTGGAGGAGCTGCTCCGGGATGACCAGTCTTGTGACTACTGCAACTCTGGAATATGGGACTGACTTCAGCAAGCCACCCCATGGTAGATTTCCCTCCCCCGCCATTGGTCTTACCTTCCAGTTCCAGCTTGCGTGGCTCTACTCAAGGTAAGGTTTGCACTCAGCCAAAGGGTGGGGGCCAGCGGGGGGGGGCTTGTGTTCCCATGCAGCGTGGATTAATTATTTGGGGGGGAGTGCTTTGGGGGGGGACATTTCTCTATGGACCACCAAAATTTTCTCATGGGCGGGGTCCTCCGGTTGGCGACCACTGCAATAAGGTATTGAAACTGGTCTCTTGTCAGGGGTTTGGAGGGCTATGTCTGCTAACATCTCTTCTGTATTATTCAAATCAACAGGTCTTTTTTTTTTTTTTGCACATCTTATCAAAAATGGTACTTGGCAACAATGTGCTTTGTCTACTTTGGAATCAGAATGCAACTTTGTTGTCTCTTATGTAGACAGGTACAATTGTGTTCTTTGGCTTATCTGTTCCAAGCCCAATATTAGTTTAACCAGCTCTCGCAGATGAGCAGGCAAAGTTGACAATTCATCCATCATAGAAGAAAACCCCACTGGTGTATTTTCTGCCCTTTATTGTCCTCAACCCTATTTGCATCCAGTTATCTTGCAATGTTACAATTAAAATTTAAAAATATACATTCAAAAGGATGCATTCAAAAGGCAACTTTTAATAGGATAAAAATGGTAGTGTGAGTAAAGGATATTTAACCGATAGGATATCACTTAACTACAAAACTAAGAAACTTTTTTCAACCTGGAGCTGTACCACATCTTTAGCCCTTGTGTTGTTGCTGTAAAAGTTATGATAGGTGACACTGAAATGTTACTAAAATGATGGGCTGGTTTTTAAATATTTCTGTTTTGTGGGGAGATTGTGTTTAAAGGACTCAGAATGTCTATATTTTTTAAATTTAATGATGGACTTTTTGCAATTGACAGATGCAAATGTTGTCAATGTGTTAATTTGTCTAAGTCATGTCTGATTTTTTGGTATGGCACCCTGTGTGTCAATAACCACTGAAGCCACCACAGTTGTTTATTCCATAATCTTTCAATTTGACTTTCAGATCTCAATACTTTGTGATCTCCAATTCTTTGTCTTCTATTCTACTGTCCCCTGGTATTTCCTCATCCATTATCCACCTTTTCTTCTTTTTAACAATTATATGTGGTGTGTTATGAGCCAAAACATTTATCAGTCTGTATTCAGAAACCCCACAATATTTTTGACTACTTTTGACTGCTCATTTTTTAGTACATTTTTATTTCTATGTTCCTACCATATTTTCTTTATTGACACATGGTCATTTTTATAAATGTTCCAGTGAATCATTTTGGTGATTGTGTTACGTCATTGTTTATTATCAGTTCGTGCAATCTTGCACAAGCTGAATATATGATCTGTTGTTGTTTTTTCCCCTGCTTCTTTGCACAATCTGCACTTTGAATCACTGGATGATTTTTCAATTCTGGCCTTGATTGCATTAGTCCAAATAGCTTGCTCTTGTAAAGCCAAATTCAAGCCTTCGGTTATTTTAGCCTTATTAGTTTTCGTTTAAATGAATTAGAGAGATAAGACTGGGCACACATCATAATCTCTTTTCCCAATGATTTATCAGTATTTAAATGTGCCCAGAAAGATTCAGAAAATATTAAAATACAAGGTGTTCAATTATCTTTTTTCCTTCTTTAGGTCAGATGCTCCGTACCCGATCTATAATTATGGAAGCCCAAGGAGAAGGAAGACCTTGCCCAGCTGATCTTATTCAGTTCCGCAGTTGTGTTGTAAAACCCTGCTATAGCTGGGTTCTTGGAGAATGGTCCCCGTGCAGAGTGGAGGTATTTGAAGTTTGTAAAACATCTCCTTGCCACAACAGGTAGAAAATGAACTTGATTGCAACCTAATTTTATGAGGCAGTTTGATCCTTGTTTTGAAAGTTAAGAGGGGAATGTTAATTTAATATTATTGAAAATTCTACCAAAGTAGGAAAAAGTCATCATAAATACAACCGAGGTAGGTAACTAAAAATTAATTTAATATCAAAGGTCAAAGAGCTGTACAATTGCAATAGCATTCCAGTGAGTGTCATAGATAGGTTTTGCATCCGCATGCCTAGATCAAAGCATGATTTAATTTCAGAGAACCCTGCTACCAAGGAAATTGACTTTTGCACTAAGAATACCATGTAGCCTCTTTCAATACTTTGAAAGGCCGTGAAACAGTATGGTTTAAAGCTTCAGTAGCCTGAAGTGCTGATTTTGACTTTTTTCCTTGAAATTATTACTTTTTTTTTCTGATAGTCTGAAAATGTAAACGCTGATGTGAATTGTGAAGCATCAAACTGCTGTACTTTTGCTTTCTCAGCGTGGATGGCATGTATGCCGTCCCTTTTTTCACACTGCATTGGGCATGCATCTATTTGCCTTATGCATCATTCTATCCTTCCCTCTTTAAATTATTCTTCATTCAAAACATTTTGACCGAGTATCTAGCATTGATTTTAAAGTGGTTTAGATTTCCACACTCAATTATTTTAGAGTTTGGAGAAGATGATATCTGCTTAGCATTAATCACATCAGACTAATTGGGTCATACCCCAAAAGATGTGCAAAAGTGAGGAAGATTTAACATGTTAGAAAGGGACATGTTGTTTTGAGAAACAAACCCAAAACATCTTTTCTTCTGCATTTGTAGAGCAATAATGCTCTACCAATATACCTAGTGAGGCTTTAGCCCTTCTGAATCCATACTATCTTCAAAAGTGTATTATTATGTTTTGTTGAAGAGCATTCATCTCCAAATTTGGCAACTTTAAGTCTTATGGACTTCTTACTGGGGGATTCTGGGAGCTGAAGTCCACAAGTCGTAAAGTTGCCGAATTTGGAGACCCCTGTTAATAAGAGTAATAAGAGCACATCTATCCTTTTCCTTGCCTCCACCAAAAGAAGAACTATTTGTTAGAGAATGGTCGTTTAACAACATTGCAGAAGATTTATTAACTGCAAGGGCGGAACCCAAAAAATGGAAGTAGGAAAGGACACTTTTAATTTTTTTTTACCATTCTTGCACATTGCAAGAAGCATTGCCTGATTTGCAAACACTTTGCATTGTTTCTAGGATTAAAATATATACATTACGTAAAGTGTAATTATTTATACATCAAGTTGTTTTGATCAATTTCCCCCCCTCCCTCCCCCCCCCCCATTAGGGTGGGCAATGTGGAGATGGAATCCAAGTACGAAACCTGCAGTGTGTGGTGCTTGATGGCATGTCATCATCAACATTTAAGCAAGTGGAGAGTACCCTGTGTGAAGAGCTTCCCCCTAAAGAGAATTTGCTTCGACTTCCATGTTCTATCCCTTGTCCAGGTAAACTCGGAGAAGGACCTTATTTCATCATTTTGGTGATAAATAGCTATGGCCAATTGCACAGGATGTTCCAAGAAAATAGGTGGTTTGACATAGACCTGCAGTTTATGCTATACATACTAGCTTTTGATGAATTGCTGTCCAATCTTAAAGATGTCTCATTAGAACTCAATCACACAAAGGACTACTTGCATTTGTCTCCTGATATTAACTTTTAAGTCTGGCATGATGAGTTTGTGAGCCCCAAGTAGCCTTCTGATTTCAAAATGTCACCCAGATTGCTTTTGGCTTTTCTGACCTTGGGCTCAGGATCCATCCATGATCAGGATCATCTTCTGGTCACCATAAGTTGCAATGTCCCCATTCACTTGGACTGCAGCCTTTCATGAGAGAACAATCCCTTTTGTTTTTGCAGAATTAATCTTTTATCTTAAACTTACCTATAGCCTATTATAAGATCTCTCTGAACTCTACTGGTTTAATATAGGTAATATAAACCCAGATAGAGGGTTAAAATAATTTCTGGACTTGAGAGTAAAAATAAACAGAATGTTCTTGCTGATGGACTATGGTCCAGAGGTCAACATTTCCCATCTCTTTTTTAACTTTTGCAATGCACATTATATCAGAGAGCAAGGTACTGCAATCCTCTTCAGATTCAATGGTAAGAAAGGGCTTTGGGCCAGGGATGGGATTCAAATTTTTTAACAACTGGTTCTGTGGGCATGGCTTAGGTGGTGGGTGTGGCATGGTGGTCATGTGACTAGTTGGACATGGCTTGGTGGTCATGTTATTGGTTGGGCGTGGCCAACTCAATATCACTCACATCGAGGCATGCATCTCCTCGCCTGTCCTTTCATGACTGTGGGGATGCTGCAATAGTTGTAAATGTGAAAAATGGTCATAAGTCACTTTTTTCAGTGCCATTGTAACTTTGAATGGTCACTCCACACAAGCAAAGTACCAGCAAAGGAGGGAAAAATAACTCCAGAGAAGTTCCAGAGACAGGAAGTCTAGTCCTGCCAAGAATGTAAAATAAGGGTTAATGGAGAGGCAGTTTCTGTAAGCAACACCAGAATGTTTCCTTCCTGCCTTCCTTACAGGATTAGGCCAGTAATTTCTTCTAACAACCGGTTCTCCGAACTGCTAAGAATGTTAACAACCGGTTCTAGCGAATAGGTGCGAACTGGTAGAATCCCACCCCTGCTTTGGTCCATCTACAGTGCTGATGCACCATCTACAGTTGCATCTTTGGCAACCCAGCAATACATTCTGGGGAAAGACACATCTGGTTTAAGCACCTTTTTGCCTTAACTGAAGTTCTATACTCCTTCCCTCCCACCCCCCTTTATATGTGTGTATCTGAGAAACATCCAAGTGAAGAAACTGTTGTTTGCAAGGAAAACAGTCTAAGGTTAGTCTAGAGTTCAATCTTATCCAGAGAAACAAAATTTCCAAAGTTGTGTTTAATATTTTTGTGCTTATGCTGATTAGCACAAACCATGCAAAAGAGTTTTTTAAGAACTTGATTTTTGAAAAGTACAGTATTATATGCTAATAATTAGATCAGGGACATTCAGGTGGTGAAAAACAATTAACATACTTTACATGCTTGATTTAACCATTCCTACAGTTCAATAGCAGGGATCACATGCAAGCTCCACTTCTTTTTTAAAATCCCCATAAGTCTTGTGAAATTGTATTGCCAGGATTGTCAGGAAGGTATGCACTTTATTATTACCTTTTACAAAAGCAAAAACTTTGAAACTGTTTTAATTTAACATAATTGTAAAGCAAGTTAACGAAGGTTATATAATAGGTTTTAGCATAACTACTATAAAAAGCAGTTTCTCTCCCACTCCATAAATCCATATATTACATTCCCATATATCACCTCATTGTATCCTTCAGCTGCCACAAAAAATAATTTAAAATAATTTAATTTAAATCAAAAAATTCCTATTGCTGCTTTAAAATTAAAGTCAGTGTTTTCAAAGCACTTTCTAGAAGGGCCTTTTTAGGAAGGCCAGAGTCCAGAAGTAGAACAGCCCTTCAAATGATACTGAACTACAACTCCCAGCATCCCTCACAATTGGTAAGCTTGGCTGTTGCTAGGAGGCCTGTCCACATTCTATACTGGATATCTCAAGAGCAGGTATTGGATTGGGTCAAATAGATGAGTAGGCATATAACTTTAATAATAAGTAAAAAGTAAACCACTTATCCACTTCTGGGGACAATTCAGATTGTAGTGAAGGAGAAACCACAATGTGAGCATGTCTATAGTGGGCACATGGTTGGGCCAGTATTTTACAGTGGGGGTGGTGGTCAAGAATTGTAGATTTCTTTGTGCTTTTAACTTAATTCTAGACTTACATGTGAGAGACAGAGAGACAGAGACTGGGACAGGGGGAGAAAGAGAGAGAAATTCCCACATTTGAAATACAGGAAACCATACAGTATCACCATTTTCGAGCTCTTTTCTCACCAACATTCTGCAGCATAGCCTGTTGCCAAAAAGATCCCAAAACGTACAAGATTGTTCCTTGGGTTGGATAACCTGTAGATTCCTTCTGATGCTATAACTGGAGAGTGTATAGAGACGTCCATTACTAAAGTCTATCCTTCCTTTCTTCCTTTTTTACTATAAGGTGACTGTCATTTATCCGAATGGTCTGAGTGGAGCTCTTGTGAATTAACGTGCATCAATGGCAGGAGCTTTGAGAGCATGGGTCGTCAGTCTCGATCAAGAACATTTATAATTCAGTCTTTCGAAAATCAAGACAGCTGCCCTGAACAAGAATTGGAGACCAGGCCTTGCTCAGGTACAGAATACTGTAAACCGGTTCTTATTACCTCACAAAAGAGTTTGCTTCTAAACTGTTTTCTCGTAGTTTATTGTCAACAAACCCTGTCTTTTCTTCCCCATCAAAAGACATTTATTAAGAAAATGTTTGAAAAGGCAAGAAGAGACTGGGAAACTATTTACAGTCCTTAGAAAGGACAAAAAAAATGAGATAGGCTAGACAGACAATTACAGAAAGTTAAATCACCAGAACAGCAAACTCTAAAATCTGTCTATTTCTCCTGCTTGGGTATGTCTTGTTTAATAGTTTTCCTTTGAATTTACTTCATAATGTTTAGTGTTATTGAAAAGAAATATATATAAACTGTTGCCTTATTTGAATTATAGGAGGAAAATGCTATAATTATGTATGGAAAACAAGTCTTTGGCAAGATAATGAACGCACAGTGTGGTGCCAGCGTTCTGATAGGTTGAATGTTACAGGTAGGTATGCTCTAGCAATGTCATTGTTATCATCAATATCACCATCACCTTCACCACTCTGTCTATTACCAATTTTATACTAGTTCCTTTTTTCAACAATAATTTTATTACAGTTTACAAATACAAAGACAAAAAATTGATACAAACTAAAGAAAATATAAACAGTAATGAAAAGAAAAAGGAAAAGTGAAAAGAAATAAAAAAAGAATAAAGAAAAAGAGAAAATGGATGGATAGATAGATCAACGATAGATAGATAGATAGATAGATAGATAGATAGATAGATAGATAGATAGATAGATAGATAGATCAGATGACTCTATTCCCCCTGCAGGCAAGAGTAAACAATTTGAATAAATTAACAACCTTCTCTGGTACTTCAAATTTAAAAAAAAGTATCTTTTCATTATCTCATCTCTTATCAATAATCAAATGATTATACTCATTCAATGTATATAAAAATCAATATTGCAACTTCAAAATATATAAAATTCCCGACTATTAAAATATTTTAATATTTACAACATGAGGAAGCTGAGAACAAGAACCACAGGTCTAAATTAAATGCTCAGTACTAAAACAAGGAAGATCTGAATACAGAGGTAAGTTTGTAAGAGGTATGTAAATGCAGTGCTGTCAGTGTCTCCTGAACACCAGGGGGAAGAGCATTGTGTAGGAGGTAAGGCAAGTATAATTGTCTGGGCCTCCTCTGGTAATTCTAGCATGAGATCCAAGGACCTTCCCAAAGTGCAAACTAGTGTAGGTTTTTTTCTGGTTTTTTTTTAAAGAAAATCCATGCCATCTAGAACTATCAGACCCAAGCCTAGAGTAGACACAGTGAAATCCAGCTGAGTCCAATCCTCTATTTGCTTACACCTAATGGACAGAACCTTGCTAAACTAAAGCTATAACCTACTAACCTACCAGATCTATCCTGAGATATTCTAAGGTGTGGTTTCCCTGAACCTCTTCACCCCCTGTCCCGTCCAGTGGAGGACCGTGCAGTCTCTTAATCTAGGCCAGGGGTGTCAAACGCGATTTCATTGAGGGTTGTGTTTGACCTCGGAGGGCCGGGGGATGGGTGTGGCCATGGTGGGTGTGGCATGGGACTCGTGTCAGGAGCACCTGTGGTGGCCAAGTGCTAATGCAGGACTTCTGTGAGACCCTCCCTCACTCTCATTATAATCTATCTTCCTTCCTTCCTTCCTTCCTTCCTTCCTTCCTTCCTTCCTTCCTTCCTTCCTTCCTTCTTTCCTTCTTCTTTTTCCTTCCCTTTTCCTTCTCCTTTCTTCTTCCTTCTCCTTCTTCCTTCCCCTCTTTCCTTATTTTTCCTTCCTTACTGTCTTCTCATCTTCCCATCTTTTTCTTTATCTTTCCTCTTTCCCTTTCTCCTTTCTTGTCCTTTCTTGCATGCTCAAATGCAAAAGGGGAAACATGTCTCCTTTTGTTTTGTGTTTAGTTTAGCCATCTGCCAGTTTAGCCCTTCTGCCACTGGCAGAAGGGTGCAGGAGGCCATCATGCCCAAAACCCGGGTGTGAGGGGGCAAGTGCTGCTCCCTGAGCTCCATTTTCACTGGCAGAGGCACCACAGGCTGTTTCCAGGCTGGCCCCGTGGGCCAGATCTAAGCATCCCCCGGGCCAGATCCAGCCCCCAGGCCTTGAGTTTGACACCCCTGAACTAGGCTGTTCTCTGAGAAAGCTCTGTGTTGTGATAACTCTCCCCCTCTGCTCCTCCAGGAACACATTCCATCATATGAACAGGCAAACATAACCTGGAATTATCCAGGTATGTCTCCATTTCAGTCTCAGTTTGTTGTTTTTTAAGACCTGGGCTATAAAAATCTTGATGGTCATTATAGAGCAGGAAAGAGATAAGAAAAACTGTAAATGCTGCCATCTAATCTTCCCTCTAATGTGTGACATGCTGTGTGCAGAAAAAAAAAATTGTTCTGTGCAGCTTTTCCCAAAAGATCTACAGATTTGTGTGCCTGAATAGAAGTAAATTGCAAATACAGGGGAAAGCATCCTGTTCAAATTGTTTAAGAATGGAAACTTGAAAGTATAATAGTATGTCACATACAAGCCTTCAGATTATAATACAAACTCTGATAATTGATACTTGCAATTGTTATTTTGTGAGCATTTCAAATTGTTTCTTTTTTCCTTTTTGGAATTTGATACTGCAATGAAAGAAAAAAGAAAGGACTTATACAAAGGAATTAACACAAAAAAACATTTAGATAGCCCCTTCTCTTTCATTTATTTCCCATTATTTCCGTCTTCTGAACTTATTTAAATTTCAATTATTAATTTTAAAGGTGATTTTTTTTATAGGATCAGCAATGAACATGGACCTTGTGTGGCCCAAACTCATTCATTTATTAATATCTTCTTAAGAAACAGGCTGGCCAAGGAGATTTTTAGGAAGCCTCTTCTCAGTGCAGAGGAGTGAGCAATAGTCAGGCACGTCCTGGCTCAGTACTCGGAGACCATAAGAGTCTTGATGACCCTAACAGTGGTTGTAGTAGTCAGGAGAGCTGACATATTTGACTCTGGATGAAATAATAGACAGAATTGATTTGGGGGTAGTGGTTCCTCCTGGACTTGCACCTTATATAGCAGGGTAGGGTAGGGTAGGGTAGGGTAGGGTAGGGTAGGGTAGAATAGAATAGAATAGAATAGAAGAGAATAGAATAGAATAGAATAGAATAGAATAGAATAGAATAGAATAGAATAGAATAGAATAGAATAGAATAGAATAGAATAGAATAGAATAGAATAGAATATCTTCCTGATTGGGTCACTATAGTATGGTCTCCATGAAGACCATGGAGAAACTGCAACTGGTCCAGAAGGCCACAGGGATTGGACTTCTGCTTGTCCCACAGTTTGACCATCTTATACTATGGTAGCATGAACTGCACTGGATTCCAGATGCTTTTATGGTGCAGCTGAAAATGCTGGTTATCCTCTTTAAAGGCCAGCAGGGCACGTTAGCACAAGGCCAAGTTACTTGCAGGACTGCCTCTCCCCAGGTGTGTCTACCTGTCTCACTAGATCAGATAGGGTGAGTATGCTCCAGGTCCTTTCCCTTAAATTATTTCATCTGATGAGACCTTAGAGGTGTTCTTTCTCTGTAGCTGCCCTAGCCCTTTGGAACAGCCTCTCACCTGATATTCAAGGGTCCTCTACTCTTTTGGCCTTTCAACAGGCAATGAAGACTTAGCTTTTCTCCCAAGTACCGTGCTAGAATATCATTCAGTTGCGGTCAACAGTATGGTTACTCTGGCACCTTGTGGGAAAGGTTTTTATCTTGTTTTTATTAGTTGTTATGAGCTGGTTAGGATCATTCTGTGAGATAGCAGCCATATAAGTTTTTTTCTTTAACGAATAAATAAACTTTTCTATTCTTCTGCTCTTTATTGAGGCCCAAGGCCAGTTACAGATCCAATCGAGTTTCAATCCATATTAAAAAAAAATGAGAATTGATACTTTCTAGGAATTTCTTCAAAGCCAGCATCCTTTCAAGCATTTGCTTCAAAAGTGAATATTGGTAGCTCGCTGCTAATTCATATACATATTTGGCAGGTATGTTTACCTAACACTTTCCTTTGTCTCTAAACAATCATTATCATCATCATTTTAGCCATAGTCTATCTACTGCAGGATGAAGGCCTCTTCCGCATATTTCCAACCTTAGCTTCCTTTTGCCAATTGGGCCCACAATACTTGCTGATGTCATTGATCCATCTTGTTTTAGGTCTCTTTCATGGACGCTTTTTATCAAATGGGATCCTTTCTAGGACTGCCTTGGTCCACCTGCCATCAGTTCTTCTTGCTATGTGACCAGCCCATTTCCATTTCAATTCTTTTAATCTCTTGATGATATCATATACTTTTGTTTGTTCTCTGATCCATGTGCAGGTCTATCTATCTTGTCTTGTAATCCCACAAGCATGTATCTTTTCATGGCTCTTTGCGCCACTCATAGCTTTTGTATCAATTGTGAGGTTAGTGTCCATGTTTCCCCAGAACATGTTTGAGCAGGTAGCACACACTGACCGAAAACTTTTCAGGCATAGGGGGAGGTTGTTCTGGAAAATTATGCTTAGCTTGCCAAATGCTTGCCAACCACATTTAACATGCTGTTCAATTTCCTTTATTGTATCACCTTCCATTGAGATCCATTGACCAAGGTGTATATAGTGGTCTACTACATCTAGTTTTTTTCCAGATATAATTTTTTTCTTTGTTTGGTGAATTTATTAAAATAACCCGTTTCTTTTTCAGGTTTCTTTTTAAGCCAAATGGTTCTCTTCCTTTGTGCAGCTCTTGTATGTGTCTTTGTAGCTCTTCTGGCTCTTGTGAGAAGAGAACAACATCATCTGGAAATCTTAAGTGATTTAAATAGGCGCCATTGATTTTTATTCTAACTGTTACCCAGTCTAGTTTGTGAAATACTTCTTCAAGGCAGGCTGAGAAAAAGATATGATGATATTGTATCGCCTTGCCTTACACCTCGTTCTATGTTGATTTCCACTTTAAATATTGTTCTAAAATAATACTGACCTTTTTTGTAATTGTGTTATTTTACAATCACATTTTTATAATCGTGTTCTAAAAACTAGAAAGGGTTGATTCTTGATATCTGGAAGAAGTCAAACATATTCCCCTAACCTGAAATAGTCCTCTTTCATTTGCCCCAAAGATTTTATCTCTTCTTTCTTTGAAAGATATTAGTTTTATTATTTTCTTCAGGGATTTTATTAATATCACTGTTTTCTTCAGAGGTGTTTAAAATGCTAGGCAATGGTGGTGATGTTTTTCTTTCAGTTTTGTTCATTTTAGATGCTCTGCTGTATTGTTTTTATAGTACCAGTGTGATTTTCTTTCTAGTTACCTTATAAATTCAAATTAAATGGAGGAATATAAATATTTTAAATAAACTTAAAAAGTTCATCTGAAAGCTGAAGCAGGAATATATGCACATAATCATCAGGGCACACTGAGCAATCAACCTGTGCAATGAAAAATAGTGTGTGGCGCATGCAGAGAGCAAATACATGGCCAAAGATTTCCTTCAAAGCAAATAGTTTCAGCTGACTTTGCTTCATTGTGCTATAATGACTCTACATTACATAAATATATGTGCTTTATTTCAATTAATACTGGCAACACAATTAAAGAAACTTGTGCATAGGAATGACTGTGAAGACCAGGATGAGAACTCACAGAGAGAAGCAGGAATATTTGATTCGCCATTTCATTGTGGTTTCTACCACTGATCCTCTCAGGTGTAAGGCTCCAGGGAGGGGTGATCGCAGGATTACTAATGAAGTCACATAAAGGTGGTTCATACTGATCAGTCACCAAAAGCACATGGAAATGCTGGTAGATTCATTTGTTCACATGCTTCTATGGCTTGTTGCCTTCAAATTTATGCCACGCAAACAGATGCTGCGCTATGTGCAGTTCCCTTTGATAGATATTTTTGAAGTTGATGTTTTAAAGATGGATATGGCGGTTCTTCTGATTATTAATAGGAACCAAGGACTCTGTTGAGCTGCAGTAAATATTTATCTCCAAAAGTAGAGCTTTGTTCATTGAAAAATGTAGCTTTGACAAAGCACATTGTTCCCTATGAAATGTTCCTCTCTGTCTCAGAGAAACGAAAAAAATACCCCATGCATTTGTATACTAAGAACCGCACAGTAACTACATTGCTCATTAGAGAGGGCAATAAAATAATCTGAGAGAGCAAAGGAGGAGTGTTCAAACATCTAGTCTGTAAGTGAGTAGAGCCTGGCACAGCTGGGGAGAAGAGAATTTATTTATGGAATTTTAATGAGAGGCTGTCGTATATTTGTGGGACTCTGTTTGCAATTTTTCAGCAGGAGAATTGTGGAAAAAAAATACATCATTTAGTTTATTTCTCCATTATAGTGTTATACATTTAATAAGACTGAAAATTAAGCCACCAAGAACCATACTGTAATATAAATACCTTGTCTATGATCTTTTCAGTAAGAATGGACAAAGTTTCAGGGAGGGGGGGAGGGAGGGGAGAGAGGGGGGGAGGGAGGGAGGTAGAGAAAGAGAGAAAAAATAAAGATATAGAGAATTTAGAGGAATGGCATGAATTCGTGCTTAAGAATGAAGCTGGGACAATCACTTTCCTACTGAAGCAGTCCATCCTGATGAGATTGAATATTTATTGAATTTAGCGTCCTCTTTTGCTGGTATTAGTGATTTTTTTTCATAAATCCTCTAAATAATATGATAAGGTTGGGGAAAAGATAATGCAATATTGTCAGCATTGCTTTATACCAGTCAACTATTGATGTGATTTTGCATTAAACATTTGGACTGGAAATTTCTGGAATGGTTGAAAAGAGAATATTTTTGTAGAGACCTTTAGGGCAGATCAAGCATTATTATCCAATATTTAATTTTAGGTCAACCAGCAGGAAAGTATGTTACATCTTCTAAAAGGACATGTTATGCAATTTTCAGAGTCTTTAAATCTATTTGACCTAATTTCAGGACTCTCCGTTGATAAATATTTGGTAATACTTATAGTCATATGATAATATATTTGTCATATGATAATATATGTGTGTTAGATGTAACCAGCAGAGATAATGTTATGGGCTATCCCCACCAAGGAGAAGTAAGTATGTATGTTTCTTAAATGTCTCTTAATTGAGATCCTCATCCCCACACATTGACCAAAAGCCTGTCACCTATTGCACTGTCTGAAGATGATACAGATGTTTTATCACTGCTCTTCAAGGAATTGGAAAAAGCTTTAAGAAGCACATTAGATAACTCGTGACCCATTGTATAATCCTTACCAAGCACTCATGTACCCAGAGACCTGTGTTGCACCCCCGTGCAACCTCCCCGCCCCCTGGTACCACTTGCACACTTCCATGCCCCTCCACACCCTCCCAGATGGAGAGGGCATGTAGGAGCACAGGACTGGTGGGAAAGGGACCCAGAGATGCATATCTTAGATATTGCCTTGAGATACTGAAAACCACATAGGTGGCAAATGGGAATTTAATTGAACAAGTAAATGTTTGATAGTACCTTTAAAGCTTGGAAAGCTCAGGTCAAATAGACTGCTGAAAACACTCAAAAGTTTAGTTCCAATTAGATTTGGGTTTGTTTGTTTTTTAGCTGAAAAGTTATTTTAGATCCAGAGGCCCTAAAGATCTTTGAAGGGGGGGGGGGGAATACTTCAGTTGTTGAATGGGACACAAATTCTCTACGTACTCATGGAAAATTTTCAGTTCTGGAACTAGTCCAGTCTAAATTTTGTGATCTGTTTTATGTGTATTTGGTAGGAGGCATTGTGCTTAGAATTGGAGTTTATAGCAGATGAGCCTCATTTGGATATGCATTTTTAACCAACATCTAATGTTATATTTATTTCAACCAGCGCACTCTGTGTCGATCTTATAATAAAACCGTCACTTCTCTTATCTGTTCTTCTCCTGATACCAATAATATCTTAGACTTAGAGAAACTGCGTATTATATTTTGTCTTCATCTCAAGTTGATTACAGATAATTAAAACTTTATTTAATAGTAATATTTTATAAACAGATAGTATACAATAGAATATGAGCAATTATTTATCTTTAAAGAAGTTTATCAAGAAAGCTCTTCCATCATGCTTTATTGCAGACTGAAACAGTGAATCAAGGACAGCAAAGAGATGTAGAAAATTCTAATGCCTTTGATGTCATATGATGGCCATCCAGATGTGTGCGGTCCAAATGCAGTAGCCCTAGCTCTTTTTTCTCGGTGTCCTTCGCTTCCTGGCTGCTTTTCTTCCAAGAAATTAGCCTATTAGCCCTCTATTTAATTCTAACATGGTAGCAAATACCTCCTTGCAAGATTCATCCAAAAATAACTGTGTCATTTTCTAACTTCTCTAACGTTATAATGCTGAGGCGTGACAAAGAGGTTTCCATTGCGTCAGTTTCATGCCCTGACCTTCACACCTTTGTTTTAGGAAAATATTAAAAAGTTGCTTATTTTTAAGGAAATTGCCCTTGAGAGAAAGGAAAGGTGGAAATGGTAAGACTTCACCATCTCCTCTTTTATAGGGGCTTCCAATATCACCTGAGATTGCCATTTCAATCTTAGTGTATTCAACATACAATTGTGCATGTTGAATCTTTCATCTGATCAACATAGGGGCATTTCTAAGCAGAATGACAAGCACTGTGCTTGCTCTGTATGCCATTGAAGTGGAAGTGGGCTGAGTCTTTATAAACTTAAAAGGATGCACTTGGGATGCTTTAATTTTTAATTCTATTCCCCACCTCCTTTCAACTTCTCATGTGTATTATATGAATAAATGGCATCAACTGACAACTGCCCACTATAAACTTATTATGCTGCACGTCTTTTCCCACAAATTCTTGTTGTTAATATATTGATTTTAAAAAAAAGTTGCTTCAAGACCAGGTACTACATTATGCACTTTAAAAAAAAATTAACCATACTCTTATTTTTTTTTCCAGAAGAAAATTGAAAAAAAACAACAACCCTGGAACAAAATAAAAGTATGGTTAATACAAGCAGAAAAAAATATATTTCTGAATCAAAAACCAGCAGATTCAATTATTCTTTTGCCTGTTTTATGATTATAATATTTTTATTATTTGTGTTTTGAAATACCCATTTGTCACATTCATATTTTCTCTCTCCATATATAAAAATTGTAGAATATCGGTTTGCATACCTTAAAAAATACAGAGAGTCCAAGCACGATACTTTTCACCGGGCAGAATGGATGCTAAAACGTCTTCTGCCAACGTGTCTTGGGAATAATGTAAATGTACTGTTTTCAAAAGCAGCATTGCGGCACAGCAAATAACCAGCGGATATTCCTAACTCATTTTTGAATTGTATCTTTAATGATTTCTCTTGACAATTCTTCTTGCAGGGGGCTGCTCTATGCAGTTACAGCCGGCTACAACCAGGCATTGCAACCCAGCCTGCAAAAAACCCTTCTCATACTGTACACAGGTAATTCAGATGGTGCCCTTTACTTCGTTGGAAAGAACCAATTATTTTTAGAGTGTAAAACAAAGCAAAATCAAAAAGCTCCCAACTGACCAGAGACCTAATCGGGCATGCACAGGACACTATCCATTCAGTAAGTTGAATATATAGCCTTACTGATGAAAGGGGATATGTGAAGAAAACATACATGTGGGTAACTGCAAGAAAATACTTGCTTTTTTTCCACAAAAAATCAGTTTGGAACATGAAAGGCAGGTTTTAAATATAGAAATATAGAAGCTGTGAATGAAAAGAACATATAAATGTTCACCTCCAGTGACATCAGGAACTCAATCCCTTCCCATGTGAAGCATAATCATTTGTGTTCTTAGAATCCTTTGGGATTTCTTTGGAACACTGAAATGAAACAACAGATCTTCTGCAATGTTTTTTTTTTATTGACCTGTATCCCGTCTTTATTATTTTATAAGTATCTCAGGGCAGCCAACATACCTAACGTTCCTTCCTCCTCCTATTTTCCCCACAGCAACAACCCTGTGAATGAGTTGGGCTGAAAAAAAAGCAACTGGCCCAAAGTCATCTAGGCAGCTTTCATTTCTAAGGTGGGACTAGAACTCACCGTCTCCTGGTTTTTAACTTGGTGCCTTAAGAAGTAGACTAAAGTGGCTCTCTTCTCTGCCTTTTAATTCTGATCTTAAGAGAAAAGGAAGCAACCCAAGTTACTTCCTCCAATGATTATAAGCAAAGGGTCATTGACTGAGATGGGTAGCAATAGAAAGTAAGTAAGTAAGTAAGTAAGTAAGTAAGTAAGTAAGTAAGTAAGTAAG